CTGCTGGCAGTTTTAGTTTCATTTTTAAAGTATCTTTTCAGTTATTTAAATAATTTAATTTAATATATGACAAGCTGCGCAAAAAATCGCGCGAATATGAACGTGGTTTTGCGCAGCTCGTCAGTGAACAACGGCTCTGTGTAGTTAATGCTGCTCAATGTGAAAGCCCGCAGGTGATGGAGATTTACCGCTGATTACAGAACCGGCTATCTGACAAGATGCGCGTTAAATATCGCATGCGATTTATCGTGCAGCCCTAGTTTGAGCGCTTATTTGGCTTTGTAGGCAATTAGAGGCTCTTTATCATGATTTAAATGGTTTATTAAAAAACATGCGATTAGTCGACTAATGCTTAAAATTAATGACTACTAGTCGACCAGAAAAATCCTTAGTCGAGGGCACTACTGATTTTAGCCCTTGGGAAAAAAAATAAAAATAAAATCGTGTTTGAGAAGTCCCTAAGTCCTGGAATTTCATTTTGCAGTTTCTGTATGAACCATGTAAACCGATTTCTGCTGCTGATACATTTCTAAAGGAAATACGTTGTGTTCTTTCTGTTATGTTTATGTTTAGTGTGCTTTATATTTTTTCTTCAGGAAGTCATGACACCACCATAAGACTCTGGGATCTGGTTGCTGGCAAAACAAGAGCCACGCTGACAAACCACAAGAAGTCTGTCAGAGCATTGGTGCTCCATCCCAGACAGTAGGTTGCTTATGTAACATGACTTTAAGTGAACAAAAAGTAATTCTGTAAGAAATATGATAAACTAATATAAATATAATAGTAAACCTGTAAACAGTATAAAGTAAATTAAGTTGTAAATTACAGCCCTATGAAATCCAATTCCCAATTTGTGCCACATTCTGTTTCCATTTGTCATTTAAAATTTTTATTTTTTTTGGATACTGTCTTTAATGTACGAAAGAGGATTAGGGCCAAGCAATAAAAAAACATAAACAAATAAAACCATCTCAAAATTAAAGTCGTTAAATTTCAAGAAAAATCTCGTTAAATTTCAAGATAAAAGTCGAGATAAAACGTTGAGATTAAACTCATAAAATTTCGAGAATAAAGTCGCTATGTTTCGAGAAAAAAGTCAAAATAAAATGTGAGTATAAGCTCATTGAATTTCAAGAAAAAAGTCGAGAATAAACACTCGTGTCATGTTCATTTCATCTCGTTGGACAGTGTTATTTAGCTTCTGCAGTGGGGTGGGATGGAGAGTAATGCACTTGGGGAGTAGCGAATGATACGGTCGACTGGGTTCGAGTCCGTCTTTAGCCGAACTTGCTTTTCTTCCTTTTCTCATCAAATATCACATCGGAAAATTGGAAATCAATTGCTTAACGAGTGTCTAACAATAATGTATTAATTAGGG